GCCCAGAGAGGTTGTGGAGTCTCCTTCTTTGGAGATCTTTAAAACCCGCTTGGATGCAGCCCTGTGCCACGTGCTCTAGGTGACCCTGCGTGAGCAGGGGGGTTGAACTCGATGACCTCTGAGGTCCCTTCCAACCTTCGGCATTCTATGATTCTATGATTCTATGATCCCCCTGTAAATCACCACGCTGACTGCCATTCCACAGGTGAGAAATTAAAGCACCGGGAGAGAAAATCCCCTGCCCGCAGCCCTGCTTCGGAGCACGGGGAGGCCGGGAGCGGAGCCGCTTTCCCGCTTGGACATCCCCAGCCCTGCCAGGTGCTCGGTTTTACGTGCAGATCCTTATGCAAAGCTCAGCGGTTGTATAAACAGCTCCTGGCTCCTAATTAAGAGCCGCTTGGAAGTTAAATACCGCTGGCAGCCCTGGATAATTTCTCCTTTCCAACACACTTTCCCCAAGTGACCCTTTAATAGGGATAATGCCGAGGACCGTGGCGTTACCGGCAGGCCAGAGCTCGGTGCAAACGGGGCTCTCGGCCCCCGTTTTCCTGCCTGGGATGGCTCAGGGATATTCACAGGATGTTAAATAACCCGGCAAGGGCTGCGCTGCCATAAGGGGCAAGGCCTGGATACGAGAGCAGGGAGGAACAGGCAGGAAAACGCGGGCCCACGCACAGCTGCGCGGGCAGAGCGGCACGCCGGCTGCAGCCCGCGGGGATCAGCACTTTCTGAGCGAAAATAAAGCCCTGCAGGCTCTGCAAGCTGTGCATGTGCTTCACTCGGAAAGGGCAGGAAAGCCATTGTTCTTCCTGCTCTGCTTTGGAAAGGAACCCCCTCCCGGGATGAGCTGAAATGGAAAACTGGCCTGGGGTGTAGGGAACAAAATTTGGGGTCTCTGAACAGCACCGAGCAGAAGGAAACCCCAACGACGGCCACCACCCCTCTTGACTCGGGCACGGTGCAACCCACGGGACCTTCCCCAGGCTGTCGCTTGGAAAAACAACAGCCCAAAGAGACAGGGCAGATCCCTGCGGCACTGAGCGCCAACGGCGGCTAAATCCCCGCGAGCCGAACCCGCCGCACAGCGGATTTAGCAGCGGGATTAGCGAGAGCTGCACTTTCCCTCCCTGCAAAACACTGCTGGAAGGGGCATCCGAATGGACCCGCCGGCCACCCCCCGGGCTGGGATTGCAGCTGGAGGGCGGCTGGGCGGGATGCGGGAGGAGAAATCCCGCTTATCCACAGGGCTCAGGCCAGCAGAGCCGGGATGCAGCGAGGGCTCCAGTGAGGACGCTGAGCAAGCAGCACCCAGCCGGTTCCTTCACTGCTGCTCTTCGGATGGAGGGAAAGCGGGAAGGAAACATCAGATGGAGGGGAAGCGGGAAAGAAAATTTAGTACGGGGAAGAAGGAGCGACGCAAAGGATCATATGCACCTGCAAGCAGGGAAAACTAGGGACCATCGAGCCGTGGGAAGATGCTGGTGGCCGAGGAAGGCTGCATGGGGCAGGCAGAGGTGCTTCCCAAGGGATAACTATTCCTATGGCTATCACTGCTCGGCCAGTGTCCGCGGCGCACGCTGCAGTGAAGGGGAGACACTGGAGCCCCTGGCCCCATTCCCGGGAGACGCACGGCTCCATCCCGCTGTCCCTTGTCCTGGCAAGGAGCTGCCACTGCTCCTTTCCCAGACTGGAGATCATTCCCATACAGATCCCAGGTTCAGGGCTGTAGCTGCCACCGGGATTCCCTGGGGACACTGCATGGCGCTGGGTGGCATCACCCATCGCGATGCCGCCGGCACCGGCAGAGAGGCAATGCCGGGAGCCCCTTCCCACCCACAGCGATGTTCCACACGGGATTAATCCCAGATCCCCCATCCCGGACCTACCTCCATGTCCCGACGGGCTCCTGCGGCGCCGCACGGGACGGGCCGCCGCTGCCATGGGCGAGCGGAGCTCCGCGCCGCCCCGGCGAATCCCGGGAGCAGCCGGGAGGGAGGGACTAGGGCCGGATTAGAGGTGAGCGGCTGCGCTCAGAGGCTGCTGCCTCGGGAATCCGCTCCCGGCTCCCGCACCAGGGGTTTCTCCGCCCGGGATTGCTCCTTGTGGCCGCACGGAGCTCCCTGCAGACCCCGGCATGGGGCTTTGCAGCCCAAGCAGCACCGGGACCTCAGGGCTCACGGAGAGGCCGCGCGGCACCGGGAGCGCATGGGCGAGCCGCGAATCCCTCGGGATTGCTGGCGCTGCCCTGGGCGACGCCGCCCGGCTCCGGCTTGAGCTCTCCCTTCTTCCCAGGTGCTCCCATAAGGAAAAGGGTTTTTTTAACCCGGCGATTAGTTACCCGAGCCGACGGCGGCGGGCTCCCCTTCATCCTTAGCACCGTCTCCACCTGGGAGATTTACTCCAGTTAGAAAGAGGCGGCTACGTTTTTCAGGCCTGCCTGGAAAAGGCAAATTTGGAAAGAAATAAATCCCAGCGCCCGGAATAAATCCCAGCAGAAGGAAATCCCTGGGTGGGCACAAAATTGTGGCACATATTGGTGCACACGAGCACTGAGAGGGGCAGAATCCGGCCCTGGCCACCTGCAAGCCCCACTCGGAGTGTCCAGGCAAGGGACGCGGCTCCCGGGCCCTCCTCGGGCCTGGAATCCTGCGGGATTCCGAGGAGCAGCAGGTACTTACAGAGACACCCGGGAGGGAGGTCAGGAGCAGAGTCCTTGTCCCGGGATGGGAGCCGGGAAGCTGCATCTCCATTAGGAGCTGTAGTTAAGGATGGGAAGGGGCAGGCGAGCGGCTCGGAGCGCAGGCAGCCAAATCCCGTGCCCGGAGCAGAACCGGTGCCGCCCGCCGGCTGCCCCGTTCCCAACCCCCAGGGAGGAGCCGCCTCGGCTCCGGCACAGGCTGGGCTGCAAACAGAGCCATATGCCGGGATGCTGAGGAACACGGAGTCCCCGCTCGGGCTGAATCAGCGCGGGAGCCTGACGCTGAGTTAATTAGGCAGCAGTCCCAGCCTTTGTATTCCCAGCTATTAGTTGCCTGGGTTTTTTTTTCCCCAACCTGCTTCTCCCGGCACCATGGCAATGGGAAGGAGAGAAGGGGGTTCCCACCGCAGGCAGAGGTGCCCTTCCCATTCCACTCCTGGGAAGCGGAGGTGGGAGCAGTGGCCACGAGTCTGGCTCTCCTGCCCCATTCCTAAGGGGCCGGCTTGGGCTTGGATTCACAGAGGTCTCTGGTTCCCATTGCAAATCCCAAGGCGCTCACAGCCGCTGGGCACCCCGTGCTCCGGGAGAGCGGGAACGCGGCTCGGGAACAGCCAGGCAGGAGCCGGTGGCTCCAGCGTGCGAGGGAGGCGAGGGAGCCAGGCAGCCTCCCCGGCCTCGCCTGCACTATGGAATCGTTACCGCTATTCCCACTAATTGGTGCCATGGGGCTGAGGGCTCCTGCCCGGGCTCCGCTCGCCCCTGATCCCGGCCCATCGGCACGCGCTGTCCGGCCGGCCGCGGGATCCCGGCCTTACATCATCCTTCCCGCTATTCCCTCCCGGCGCTGCCCGCTGGGCTATTTTGGCTCCTTGCTCTGGGGTTTTAACCCTCAAGCTTCCCGGCGCTTGGGCGGCATTTGAGCCCCACCGGCAAATCCCTCACAAGCGACACAGGGCAGGATCTGGGAATTCCAAGGCAGATCCCATGCACTCCCCGAGGAAGAGCAATCCCAAAGGATATACGGACACCCCAGCGCGTCCCACGGGATCCCCGGCTTCTCTTGTGTGGATCCACAGCACCCGCCGCTGATCCCGCCGCAAGGAGAAGGATCCTGGGAAGCGGAGCCGCGGGTCCTGGGACCCCTCCGTGCTCCACGGTGCCGCCTTTCCCGGTGCTCAGAGCGCAGGACGAGCTGCGGTAACCGGAGCCGGGCCGGCCGCCCCCCGCTCCCGCCCTGAAACCCAACGCTGCCGGATGCCGCCGGGAACGGGACACGTCCTCGGGCACCGAGCGCGGCGAGGACGAGGCCACGGAGCCGGCACAGCCGCAGCTCCACGGTCCCGCAGTGCCCGGAGCGTCGGGAAGGGCGTCCGGGCGAGCTCCGTGCAGCAGACCCGCACAGTGAGGGGCCGCCAAGCCGCCCGCTGCTGCCTGAGCCCTCCCCGCGCTCGTGTCACTTGTGGCGCAGAGCCCGGATGCTGGTGCCATCTAACGGCGGCAGCCCCGGAGCAGCCGCCGGCTCCGCACGGGTCCTGCTCCCCCCGGATCACTGGAGATGCCCGGTGCAGAATCCGCTCCGGGATAAGGAAGCCAAGGCCCCGCGCGGGTTGCAGGGGGCAGACAGGAGGCCAGGGATGGCTCCCAGTGCTGTGGTTTTCCCAGGATGATGAGTGGAGTCCGGGTGGGAAGGCAGAGCCATCTCTGACCAGGCTCACCCCAGCTTGCTGCACAAACGTGGTTAGAAAAGGCAAGGAAAGAATCAATAGCTGCTGGAAAAGCACCGGCTGGGCAATTCCATTAGGGATTAACCCAGCGCTTGCATTTAGGCCGTTATGCAAGGAGTGAAACGTTCAGTGTGAAATTGCTGCGTGGAAAAGGAGTCTCCTGTGAGGACCTTCTGCTCCACACGCTGGGCATGTGCAGAAACTGAGGGAAAATCCTTTTTTTGTTGTTGTTGTTTCCGAGCAGAGTGTTTCCACATTCCCATCATTTTCACGGCATTTGAGCATCCTGCTCTTCCCATGATCACAAAAAGGCACCGCTGGGAAGGGGAACCAAACCCAGCGTGGTGAAACAGCGGCCAAAGAAACTCCCCGGTGACAACCAGGCCCATCCGTCAGCATCAGCACCCTGCAGGGTGCTGCCTAATCCCATGGGAAAGCACCCCAAGCTGCTCCTCATGGAGCTGATAAGAGCCCCCAGCGCCGGGACTGGCTTGGGGTTCATGGGGAGCTGCTGGAGGGCTCTGCTCCGGGTCCCTGTGCCGCAGGGGGTATGTGCAGGGCCAGGCGATGCCTTCCCCGCTGCTGGCGAGGGCTCCGGGGGTGTTTTGCGGGATGCTTTCCCGCAATTCCCGCGGGATGCGCAGGGCAGGGCGTCCCGCAAGTGCCCAGCGCGCGGGGAGCTCCCTGCCCACCCGCTGCCCTGCACCGAGCTACGGAGGCCAGGGAGGCTACGGAAAAACAGCCCGGGAATATCACGGAACTCTTGTTGCTCCCAACAGCCGCTTGGTTTTTTTTCCTTCCCCCCACGGTATCGCCTGTCCCCGTGTTTCTCTCTGTGCCACATGCAGTGAATTATTCATGCCCTTTTTGTGCTGCTCCACAGGCTTTGGTCCCTACATTTGGCTTTCAAGCTGGGTCACCCAGCGGGGTGGCGGGGGCAGGAGCCCCTTGCTTAGCCCTGTGTCCCCTGCGGAGCCAGGGTGATTTTGGCCCCAAATCTGCAGCCTGAACAGCCTCTTTGGGACCCTGGAGAGCTGCAGGTGCCATGTGCAGCACCCGGCATCCAGACAGAGGGTCCCCATCCCCACAGGGCGGCTGGGAAGCCGCATGGGAGGAAAAAGAGAGCAAAAAGAGAAAGAAAAAGTATCTTGGGGATCTTCTTTCCGTTAGTGCAGAGGGCAACAGGTTGGATTTCCCTCCGCAGCGGCTCCATGGAGCGGTGGGAAAAGCTGCTCCGAGGCCGCGGCAGCGGCGCCGGTGCCTGGGAACGGGAAAGGGAGCGAATGCCAAGCGCCGGGGCTGGCGAGCGCCGCTCCCGCACCTGGGGGACACGTGGCGTCTGGTAGCTCAAACAAAGGGCCGGGATCTGGATATCGTATCCCTCAGCAGAGCTCGGTTAACGCGGAATGGCACGCGGCGCTGGGATTGCTTCCCGGCCTCCAACGCTCCCTAATGCATCTGCTGGCTCCAGCAGCAGCCCCAGGGCCTCCCGCGGCCACCAGCAGCCCCAGCTCCTGCTTGGAGGCCGTTTGCTGGGCACGGGTGGCGGGTCCCTGCGTCAGCAGCCCCAAGGGGGGTGTTTTTTGTGTATATGAGGTGATAAACGGTGCCATTGCAGGAAGGTGGGATGATTTTTTGTATAGGTGGCAATAAAACGGTGCCGCTGCGGGAAGGTGGGATGATTTTTTGTATAGGTGGCAATAAAACGGTGCCGCTGCGGGAAGGTGGGATGATATTTTGTGTCCTGGCCACGGGGTCCCTGTGTCAACAGCCCCAAGGGGGGTGTTTTTTGTGTATATGAGGTGATAAACGGTGCCATTGCGGGAAGGTGGGATGATTTTTTGTATAGGTGGCAATAAAATGGTGCCGCTGCGGGAAGGTGGGATGATTTTTTGTGTGCTGGGCATGGATGGCAGGTCCCTGTGTTAGCAGCCCCAAGGGGGATGGTTTTTTGCGTATATGAGGTGATAAACGGTGCCGCGGCGGGAAGGCGGGATGACTTTTTGTGCAGGTGGGCTGATTTTTTGTGCAATCAAACGGTGCCGCCTTGGGGAAGGTGCCGGCCCCGCGCGAGCCCCTACCTTCTCGGCGAGCCCCTCGGTGTCCTCGGCGAGCAGGTAGACGGCCCCGCTCTCGGCGAGCAGGATGGCGGTGTCGGTGGTGGACGAGGAGCGCGGCCGGCCCTGGTGCTGGTGCAGGATGGCGGTGAGGCCGCTGTCCTGCGGCGCGCGGCGGCCCAGGTGCGGGCTGCCCCGCTGCGGCTCCAGCGAGCCGCTCTTGGCGCGGCGGCCGCCGGCGCCGGCGCCGTGCAGGCTGGCGCCGCGCTTGATGGAGGGCCGCGCGCGGATCTGCTGCAGCACGCGGTTGAAGGCGGTGGGGCGCGCGGGCAGGTCGTGCAGCGACACGGCGTAGGAGACGCGGTGCATCTCCGGCGAGCGCTCCTTCTCGTCGGGGGAGTCGTGGTCGGAGGCGCCGGGCGGCGGCGGCAGCGAGTCCTGCGAGTTCTGGTGCTCCCGCTCGCGCGAGCGCCGCCGGCTGTGGAAAAGGTGCTTCAGGCCGTGGCCGAACATGGAGCCCTCGGAGAGCTGCTGGATTTTCTGCGGGGGAGAAAAGAGCCTCCCTTATTGTGGGCAACGCTTTGCGCGGCCGTGACGTGGGCGGACAATGCACGAGAGCAAAGTCTGGGAGATGCCACCACACCACGGTGGTGTGTTTGGGTATGGGCTTGAGGGCACTGCGCCCCTACGGACAAAGGGGAAGGAGCAACGTTGCTCAGAGCCGGAACAACCCTGGTGACTCCCAGGCTTGGGACGTGCTGCAGACAGCTTCCTGCCCTTGGGAATGCACTCCAGGAGGGAAAGGGGAAGGTCTTTCCCTCTGACTCTTCCATGGCCTCCAAGACCAGCCCCAAAACCCGGCCTTGCTTTGCCAGAGTGAAGCTGCCTCTCCTGCCTGGTGCCACCAGCGGGGCCCGAGCGACCTTGAGCAGCACAGCAGGGACCTCCCTGCAGGACCCCCGAGCACGACATCCCCCCGGAGCCGCCCGGGCTCCTCAGCATCGCCACCGACCTCCTCCAGAGCAGAGGAATCCTCCAAACGCTCGCCTCCCCGCGCGCGCCGGCGCGGCCAGCAGCCCTCGTGCTACATGGATGGTGGAACCGATCGAGCTCCTGATTACGGGCAGGGGAGCCCGGCGCCGCTTCCCGCGCCCAGTGCAGTGCCCAGATTTGCGCCTCCGAGCCCCGCGCTTGGCTGGGTGCCTTCTGCAAATCTCCTGCCCACCCTCGTCCCTGCTGTCGCCCTGCGCTTAGTAACCTCTCGCATTGGTGACCACTATGAGATGGGCTTGGTAGATTTAGTCCTGCTGCCGGAGGATCACATATCCCAGCCCAACACGGCTCCCAGACTGCAAGGGAATAATCTTGGGACACTCAAATGTCTTCTCAGCTCCACAGGCAGCCTCAGCTGTCATAAACTCAGCGGTGAACACGGCACAACCTTGTGCTCCTGCTCTGGATGTCTCTGTTTTGCTCCTAGGACTAAAATCTTGGCTCCTAGGACTAAAACCCTAATCCTGCGGGACCACTTAGGGTCCTGAGATTCATCCCTAGGGATGCTGGTTTCCCTCCTGGCACTGCTGCGATCTGCCCGTGCTTGAAAACAAGGGGAGGTCACAATCGGGAGCTGCTTTTAGCCACGCTGTTACTTGGCAAAAGCTGCGACTTGTAGAGAAGCAGCTGGGTTTGTGACACGACCTCCAAGAGCATCCGGATGCCTGGAGGACTTGGTGTCCGCGCGGGCAGGACTCATCTCTCAAACACCATTTAGTCCTCGAGCGTCCAGATTCATTAAGGCTTAATTCCCATCGCATCTGGAAGGCTTGCAAGGAATTGGGGTGCTACTAATAGCACTTCGATCGCACGCTGCTGAACACTACAGGCAAAATAGTCCTTGTTATCCACTTGGGATGAAGAATTAGATCCATTTGGTTTTTCCTAAGAAAGACGTAACAAATCTGTGGTGCTCAACTGCTACTCGAGGAAATTGTGATTTAAATTTTATTCTATTTATACAGTCTCTATGGCAACAGAGACAGTGTTAGATAGGTAATAACTATAAACCCACAGATCTCCACCATCGAGGGTACAACAGAGGCTCAGATTCTCGCTTAGCCCTTTAGAAGGTCCAAGTGGAAGGAAAAGGCCAATTCCCATCCCTGGAAAAACAGAATAAAAGCAAAGCCTGCCCCAAATTTGGAAGGACGACTTTCCAGCAACAGCAGCTGCAGGTGAGAGCCAGTCATCCTGGGTGGGTATTTGGCCAAACAGCTCAATCTGATAGAGATTTTTCTTCTGAAGATAATTGAAAAAATACCCTTCTCCTTGAGCCTTTTCCAAGTGTTTTTCTGAAAGAGACATCGAGAGGCTTTGCAGATAGGGCTCCCATGCAAGAAAGGGTAAGAGGAGCAGGAAGAGGAGAGCTGAGGCCATCCTGCACTCGGCTGCATTGAGTTTATGGCTTCTAAAGCTGCAGACCTGCCTGCACCAAGGGTCTAAGTGGTCGCCACATGGTCACCATGGACCAAGCTCTTCTGCACCACAGATCCCAGAGAAGCTCTTCATGTGGAAACCATTTTCCTAAGTTATTCCAGGATAACTAGAGCACTTCCAAAGCAGAGGCTTGTTTAAATTATTATTATTTTTCTTTTCCTGGAATGAAACCACCTCTAGCTCATAACAGAGCATCTATACGTGGGAACAACCAGGGCTTAATAACTGAGGCAGGAGCAGCAGAGGAGGAGGCAGCTGCAAAACGCACAGGAATCTCTTCATTAGACATGTCTTAATTAACGGGGCCGCTCGACGGCGGGGATTGTTTCTGTGGACTTCGAGTGAACTTCACCGATGGGGACTCCTGCTTCTCATCCTCCGCCCTGTCCTAAGTGGATCAGCCCGTCGCTATGACCGGCTTTGGCAGGGTCAAGCCGCAGGCACGTGGCTTCCCGAGCGCCGCTCCGCCTGGATGCGGCAGCACCCGCTTCCTCCTTGCACGTTTATCCCTCCGTGATCCCGGTGATCCGGCTCTGGCGGGACACGGCGGCTCTCAAACCTCCATCTCCCCGTTTCCAGCAGCTCCTGCCCCTCAAGCCTCTTCCCGGGGTTTCAGGTGGACGAGGAAGATGTTCAGGTGGAAGGAGATCCTGTTGCCGTGACCTTAGAGCGCAGCGCCGCTTGCTTGCACTCTATTATTGTTATTATTAATTATTTACATCCCAGGCCAGCCCAGCGGCTCCAGCCGGGAGCGAGGGGCCCGTCGGAGGCCCGGCACGGCCGTGGGAAGAGAGCCTGTCCTGGGAGATGAGTGGGAACCGGATGGCAAAACTCTTCCCTCCAGCCCGGAGACAGCCGAGACGCAGAGCAGGAGTAGCCGGACAGCAGGTTTCCTAGGAAGCCTCTATCCCTGCTCTTGGCTGGGCTTTCCTGGCTTTTCTCCCCATGGGTCTCGCAGCGAGCAGATCCTATGGGAGGCGGCGAGAATCCTGGGAATGCAGCACAGGGCCCCCGTGCCCCCCTGCAGCCCAGGCCGGCCGGGACCCTCCGTCTCGGCCCCGCTGCCTCCTCCCGCTGCCACAACCAAATGCCAAGCGAAATCCAGGGATAGTGGAGCGCGGAAAGCGGAGCTCTCCCACACATGCTTCTCCTCTGGGGGCCAGCGTGAGAGAACAAACATGTGACGAACATTAGTCATGTTGCTTAACGTGCCACCAGAACGCGAGAGAGACGCGGACCTTGTTGAATCCCATCTGGAATGAAGCCGGCGGGAGGGTCCCGGGCTGCTCCAGCCGGGACGGCACTGCGGACCCCTCGAGCTCCCCACCCGGAGCTCCGCTCCCTTGGCACATGTTGGTTCCACTTCCCAGGGGGCTCGGGGCGCCGCTGGATCTGGCAGCACCCGTGCCGGAGCCGCTGGCATTTTGGGATGCAGTATCCACGGGAGGTGCCGGATGAAGCGGCTCCGGTGGCCACGCGGCTCCCGCTCGAGCTGCTCGACAGCAGCCGCCTTCCGCTAACCACAGGGGACTCCGCTCACCTTGGCAGCGTCCTTTCCCGACCAAAATACGCCTGGAAAAATTGTTCGTGCGAGCGATTAAATATAAATGTACCTCAGGGTTTATCCCAGGGCCCGGTGACCTTTACGGGCGAGGAGGAGTCAGTCCTTTCCAAGAGCAGCCCATGAGGCTGCAGGTTGGACTCTGCTCCCCAGACCCCTTGTAGAGGAGCCAAATCTATTTGGCTTTACTTTTTCCCCCAAATCAAAGTGGATAAGGAAGGACTTGAGCCACTCTGGTAAGTGCTGCTGAGCCCTGTCCCCTCTGGGCATCCTATTCCAGCCCCGCTGCTCCGGGTCAGGCAGGTTGGAGCAGCTCCGGGGCTGCGTATCCCGAAACTGGGCCTTGCCGAGTGCCTCCTCCAGGCCCGGGAGAAGGGATGGATCCAGGACAGCGCCTCCAAACTCACTGCTGGTCTTGGATTGGGGATCAAAAGCAGGGGAAGGCCTTAGCCGCAAACACTGAGATCACGGCACCGGAGAAGGACGTTACGTCGGGCTTCAACTCGCAGCCTTTGGTCAGACCAGTCCGGTTGGGAATGGGAAAACAGTCGGGTTGGAGCTGCATGGGGAATGCAGGAATGCGATCTAAGCACTAAATGCCTTTCTGGGGGAACATCCCGGGACGCCAGGGCAGCCTCCAGCAGCAAACGGCCTCGATGTTTCCTTCTGCAGCGCTCTGGATGGATCCAGTCACTCTGCTGCAGCGCGCAGGAAATCTTTGCCACCCAACATATTTTTAAGCAGAATTATGTGTCATGCATCTGCTTTGCTCCTTGCCAGAACTTATTTTTTTGGCCTTTTTTTTCCCCTAATGGAGCAATTGCTCTTGGAAAAAAAAAAAAAGAGCTGAAATTGGGGCTGGCAAGAGGAACGCTGCATGGGTTTGCCAGGAGGACCTGCCCGGTGAGGGGCTCGGAGGCGGCACAAAGCAGCCTTTTGTTTCCAGGTTGCCGGCTCAAATCTGTCCTAGGCTGGTAGCAAATAAAAATCCCCGTTTGAGGCTCGGCTGATACCCACGGGGTGCTGAACGATGGACCTTGGTCGGTGGCCCCACGCCAGGCCAAGCAGAGCGGAGCACGCGGCGAGGGACCGGCTCGTTTGCTAGCGACCAGCACGAAAAGGAGAGATTCGAGGCAGGAAAACTTTAAGATTAGGGTCTGTTCTCCAAAGATGCCACGAGTAGAGGAACCAGCAGGTGAAGAGACTCAACCGGTGCCCTCCGTTTGCAGCAGGGCCAGGAATCAGGGCCCGGAGCTCGCTGAAGACGTGGGCAGCCCCGAGAGCGGTTTTCGTGCGGTCTTCTCCACAAAGCGACTTTTAGGATTCGCTTCGTGCAGGTAATTAATTGCAGAGCTACAAATGTGCTTAAAGACATGCGTCGGGAAGCAATGCTGCGCTGCTCACGTCGATAAAATCAATGGGGATTTGGCTACCGAGCTGGACCAGGCTGCACACAAGGCTGGCTGTGCCACCTAAAGGCTTCCTGCTCATCAGCACCATCCCGGCCCTCCTCTTTCCACCTTTTTTTGACCCATTGCAGGTGGATAATAAGCCGGGATGGAGCTGGTGGGATGGGACCGGCTCCCTGCACGACCTTGGTCATCCTGACAGGACTCTGGGGACTAGAGGACAGGTTGGAGAGGCTCTGCTGGGAAGCTCCACAATGAGCAGCTCCTGTCCCCGATGCCTGCGGGGGACCAGGGACATTTTGTGCAGCCCTTTTGGAAATCAAAGAGCGGGAGCTGAGCTCGGAGCACGGCAGCGACGCACCGCAGCACCTGGAAACAGGGAAGAAAGCAGGGAACGCATCCCTGCCTGCGGGCCCCGCTGCATCCCGCTCCCACCAGCGAGCAGCCATGGATCCAAGCTGCTCCACATCCAAATCCACAGGAAATTTCTGCACAAACTCCACCTGGGACTGGGCTGCTCTAGATGCCCATAGCCCTGCCAGTGCTTCCCGTGCTCCACAGTGCTGTGTAACTCATTTTCCTCATTATCCAGACACATCCCGCTGGCAGGGAAAGAGCAGCCTGGGATCACTGCCCTGCTGCCACTTTCCTGACAGGCTGATCGTGCTTCCCGGTGCTGGGGCGGCTCCAGAGGGTATTTAGCCCCATTTGCCCCGCTCTGCCTCTAGAAAAGCCCTGAGGAGCCTCCTGGATGGCCCCCCTTCCTGCAGCTCCCTGCTGATGTGGCTGGTGCCACCAGGGTCCCCTGCCTCTCTTGGTGACACTCAGGCCTGGGCTGCAAAGCTGCCACAAGAGCATCGCCCTCCGGGAAGCATCCCTGGCCTGGGAGCACTGGATTCCCGGGAGCATCCCCATCCCAGGAGCATCCCCATCCCAGGACCACTGCATTCTGCAATGCATGCCCATCCCAGCAGCCTCCCTATATCAGAACCATCACATTCCCAGGACCATCCTCAACCAGGGACCATCCCCATTTCGGGCTGCTACAATTTTGGGAGCATCCCCATCCTGGAAGCATCCCCATCTCAGGCACATCCCCATCCTGGGAGCATCCCCATCGAGGGAGCATCCCTATTCTGGGACTGTCCCCACCCCGAGAGCATCCTCATCCTGGGACCACCTCATTCCAGGAGCATCCCCATCCCAGGAGCATCCTCGTGTCGGGACCGTCCCCAACCTGGGAACACCCTGATACCGGGAGCATCCCCTTCCTGGGACTGTGCCCATCCTGGGAACACCTTGATCCCGGGAGCATCCCCATACTGGGGCTGCTGCAATTTTGGGACCACCCTATCCCAGGTGCATTCCCCATCCTGGGACTGTCCCCATCCTGGGAACACCCTGATCCCAGGAGCATTCCCATCCTGGGACTGTCCCCATCCTGGGAACACCCTGATGCCTGGAGCATCCCCGTGCCGGGAGCATCCTCATCCTGGGACCACCTCATCCCAGGAGCATCCCCATCCTGGGACCGTGCCCATCCCGGGAACACCCTGATCCCGGGAGCATCCCCGTGCCGGGGCTGCTGCCGTCTGGGGACCGCGCCGCGGCGGGAGCGCCCCGCAAGGTCACACCTGTGGCGGCGCGGGGGACACGGCGGGGCCGCACCGGGGCTCACCTTGAGGTCGGGGGGCTTGGAGCGCGGCGGCGGCGGCCCGGCCCCCGCC